GCTTCGGGGAGGAGTTCACTGACCTCGGCTCCATCAAGAGCAAGCTCATCATCGTGCAGGTAATGTCTGCGCTGTCGGGTGCCTCTTCTGTCAGAGGAACGCAGGTTCTGAGCCGCGTCGGCAGGGAACACCAGCAGAAATCATGATTTCTCTAGAACTTTAACCTCAGACCAGTTGTCGAGGATGAAGCTCTTCAGTGTGTTCCTCAGGAAACATCTGAGCCTGAGCCACTTCTCTGTCTGAACAGATCTCCGCTGTGAACTGCCAGCAGCTGCTGGACACAGTGGCCGGCCGGCGGTCCCAGTCCAGCACAGGGAACCTGGAGCTCCCTCAAGACGTTGCTGCTGATCCCATGGCTTGCGTTTACCAGGATCTGTGCAGCTACCAGCTTCCTCAGCGAGCGTCCTGCTTCAGGGACAACCTCCCCATTCCAGTTTGAGGCGACGAGATGCTGTTTAAGAGCAAGAGCAGAACACGGCGATGTTTCAGCGACGGCCATCCATCTCCAAGTAGATTCCAGACAAGATGAAAAATGTTTTTAACCATGGAACGTTTCTCCTGAAATGTGTTGTTTTTAAAAGTAAAGCTGATAGGTTCTACTATCGTTTATTGCAGAGTTTCTGTCTGATGCACGTGACGTTTGTGTGTTTTATTCAATAAACGTCTCTTCTTTGAGGGAAATGCAGCTGTTTTCATCTGTATTTGAAAATAAAGGCATTTACATCTAGGGGTTACAGCAGCTGCTGAAGAGAAGTGCTGCACCTCAGTTTCACTGGCAGTGACTCTCAGAAACAGCACCTGCTCCTCATTCTGAGCTCCACCAAAGCTTTTCTTCTGGTGATCTTCTTCTTTTTCTTCATTTTTGTGATCTTATTTCTTTCTGTCTAATAGTTTTAACTCGACAAAATGAGTAGTCAGAGTATGTACACTCACCGGCCACTTTATGAGGTACATCTATCTGGTACAAGGTGGTACCTCCTTTTGTCTGATTTAATCCTTTGTGGCTTGGATTCCACAAGGTGCTGGAAACGTTCCTCCGTATCGACACGAGAGCATCATTCAGCGGCAGCACATCCAGTGATGCGAATCTCTCGTTCCACCACATGCCAAAGCTGCGCTACTGGATTGAGATCTGGAGACTGCGGAACATTTGAGTACAGTGAACTCATCGTCATGTTCAGGAAACCAGTCTGAGATGATGTGGCATCAGTGTGTTCTCCTGCTGCTGGAGCAAACCTGCCTCAAGGAGATGCTCTTCTGCAGACCTCGATTGTAATGAGGGGTTATTTAAGTTACTGCTGCCTTTCTATCAGCTCAAACCAGTCTGTCCACTCTCGCTGTAATCCCTACAAGTGGTGTGCATGAAAATCCCAGTAAATCAGCTGTTCCAATAAGTTCCGATATCCTTGTCAGTTCTCTGTGGAAGGCCTTGCAATGGTTGCTGGATACAGCAGGTCGAGTAAAGTGATGCCGCAGCTTTAGACCGATAGTAATAAATACACGTGTTGTACACTATGTTGTGGATTCCATGCTATTTTGCACTTTTGCGTCTGGCCGCTAAGCTGCCCCGGCGCTAGAGAGCAATACGCCAATGAACAACAAGTCAGAAGAAGATGCAACAGGTGCAAACGATTAATGTAAAAAACGATGATGTGCGCGTGAACACTTGAAAGGGAACTTCTACAATGACCAGCGGGGGCTACGGGGAAACATCTCGAGGTGAGTGACGCTGTTGCTTCCATTGAATCTCGTGGCGGCGGCGGCGGTGCCGTCCACCGGGGAGGGGATCATGCTCAGGCCAGGTGTGGTGAGATCCGAGATACTGTCTGGTCATCGGCTTAAAATGCGTCCTATTTTAATATAGGCCCGCGGTTACTTCTGTAGGAACTCGTTGAGTCAGATCATTAAGATCCTACATTTCTCAAATGTACAAAGTTTGGTGAAGTTGAAACAGTGGTTTGGAATTATACTAAAATCGATAAAAAAAATTCAACAGTTGTCTGTTTCTATAATTGTTTTGAAACGTATTTGGACATTACATCCATTGTTTAGTATGCTAGACAGCTACCTGTTGCTCTTTACATATTTATAGTTCTAAATTGTGATTTGAGCACTGCTTATCCAGATTTGGTGATCACGTATAGTTCCTATCCGGATCAGATTGTTCCGAGCCAATGTTGCCTTGAAAAACTGGCTCAAAAGTAAACTGGATTATGTGAATACGGATCTAAAAAAAGGATTACTAAATCGAGATGGAGGAGAAGTGTAAGGAATAAGAGCGAAAGCTTGAAGAAGGCAGAGCTAGGTTCCATCAATGTTTGTGACGGATGAAAGCTCTCTGTCCAGAAGCTGCATACCTTTCTGCATCGTTCCTGCTGTTGCTTCATGATCAGAGGGGCGTCACAGTTCATTCTTGTGCTTAGTTTGTTAAAATGTACATCTATTCAAATGCAGCACAAACCATTGCTCTCTTCCTTCTGGTAAAATCTCTGCTGATGGTGCTGAAGCTAAAGAAAGATCTGAGGGGAACACTGCAGCAGAGTGAAACGGTTGTTTTGTATAAAGTTATAAGAGGCCTGTGGCCGGATGTATTTCGGGCTGATCGACTCAAACGTGGAAATCTTAGATCTTGTGTTTTGTCCGTTCTTTCACATCACTGGTGCCGAACATGGTTAAAACTCTATCTATGGTCCGGCCCGTGTGCGACAGGGTTCGAATCCTGCTCTATCATACTCTCCTGTCTGTTCAAAATAAAGGCAAAAATAATCTTAGAAAAACCAAAACTCTGTATATGATTGGATTTCATGTGTGGAGAGGTCTTCGTTGTGTTTGAGGTTCTGAAACGGTGCTTCTTGTGTAGATGAGAGCTGTTCTAGCTGTTTGCTCACAGAAGCTCCCGTTTCTCGGGAAAGCTTTAGTTTCTGAGAAGAGAATAAATAGCTGTTAGACAGACGGCGCTGGTCCAGACTCTTGTGGCAGCTCTGATGCAACATCCCCTGGGAAATACCAGCAAATAAATGCTGACTTCAGCTAAAGCTGCAACCCTTGCGATGCCGCTGTCAGCAGAACCGTCTGAGACCCAGGACGAAGCTCCTTCAGAGCACCACATCACTAGAGCCCCCTTCCTGCAGCTCGGTCTGAGTCTGCGGAGCTCTAACGTTCCTGCAGCCTAGCTGAACACCTGCAGCCGTGCTCAACTTCCGCTTTTGTGTTTGGAACGTGGTCGTCACCGCAGAACTGTGTTGCAATCCCTGCGCAGAGTCTGCAGCTGTTAGCAGAAACATCCGTCCCACAAACCTCAGTGCTGACTTTCTCCTGATGCAGACAAAATCATAGAAGATAAAGCAGAAGGGTCAGCTGGAATTCTGATGGAGAGTGACCTCCATCCATCGTTCCTCAAAACAAGTCTCTTCCAACTCTTACTCTCTCAGGAGAGGTCTGCCTTTGAAGTGGAGAACCTGAAGGAATCTTTGAGGAGATCATGAACACCTCGCTATGAACCTTCTTTCAATGCTGTAGATGTTTTGCTCAAGTCAACATTATTGATGACCGTCTGTTCAGAAGTGTGTGGGCCCACCACAGGGAGCCAGCCGTGCATAAATAAAACTAAGCTGCGTGTGTCTGAGAGCCCTGTCAGAGGAACTGGGGAATGGATGGAGCTCAGGGGGAGGGTCTGCTCGCAGGTGTGTGAGTGGAGCTGACCGCAGAGTCCTCTCTGACCAGAAACAAGCCCTGGTTCCTTAAAGCAGTCTCAGTTCAGCGAGAACCCTGCCAGAGAGGGAGACGTCTGTCTATCCTTCTCCATCCTCAGATCTGCAGCATGGGCTGGGGGACTCCCGCACTCGGACTTTAGCCGTTGCCTGACACTCTTGCGTCACATTGACAAACCTGGAGAGCATGTGAGGATCATCCAGACAGGATTGAGGTAGAACTGTTCAAAACGGCTTGAAATCTGAAAAGCTTGATGGTACTGCGTCAGGATCACGCCAGGCATCCATCAAGAACACTGGTGAAGAAATACAGAAGAGTAGAGCAAGTGCTCCTCTCTCCTCATCTTCAGCATCTCTGATCCTGAAGGTGGCCACTGATACCTAGTTCTGCCCCCCCACCCCCCAGAACCCTCCTGGGAGCTGATCTAGAGAAGCTTTCTGTGCTCGGGGGTTTCTCCACAGCACAGTGGAGTGAGAGGAGACCACCTGACTTGGTCTATCTCTGAGCACATCGGAGGTTATTTTAGGCTCATGAAATACCCAGAGCTGTCACCCCTCCCCCCTCCAGTCATGTGAAGCAGAGCGAGTATCTGCCGCCTGCTGAAGCTCGTACAGAAACGGAGGTTTGGACACAGACTGCTGCTCCTCACCTGTGTCTTCAGAGGAGCGCAGAAGATCATGAGATCAGCGGGGCCTTCTGAGAGGTTCCTGAGTGAAGCACATGATCTTGTACCTGCAACATCTCCAGATCAGATTCATTCCAGTCTGATAAACTGCAGTTACACACAAGCACATGATCTCCCTCAGTCTGGTTTCCCTCACTGTTAGCGGGCGTCTGTTGTGGAGCAGAAATGCTGGAGTTTTCTTAGAGTTCTGGCAATAATAAAAACTTCTGCGTAATAATATGTTTGTGAGAGCAGCGGACAAACAACGGTGTAAAACGTTGCAGAAGCTGAAAGTGAAGAACAAGCCAGAAGGTAAGTGCAGCACGGGTTGTCCACCATGTGGCGCTAGATGCCTGCTTCACTGAGATCAGAGCCGTTAAAGATCACTGATCCAGAGACAGTCAACAGACAAACCTCTCCATGAATCTCTGCTGCGGTGGGAACCGGCTGCCCTGAGCTTTACCTCTGTTACTGATCAGGGATGTAGAAAGCACTTGTGGTTTCTCCAAAATCAAAGGAAGGAAAGTTTGTTTTTACCGATATTTGTTTGATCAAAGTATTTGGAACAATTTCATTCTCAAAGATTATTTGTGCAGAGATTTGATAAAAGCCATGGTGGGTGTGTTCAGGGATGAGTGCAGTCGGATAAGGTGATGGACTGGAGATCAGAAGGTTGCTGGTTCGATCTCCAGCTCCACTGGGAGTCGAAGGTGGGGCGAGTGTTGAAAGCCCACTCTCTCCCACCTGTGACAACCATGACCGTCAGGGTTTGTCAGGCTGTGTCTTGAAGGAAGCGAAGGTTGTTTCCGGCTACCAGGGGTTTGCAGGAGATCAGGGGAAACCCTGGAGAACCAGAAGGGATCATTAAATCACTTTTACCAACTCTCTGTCTCTCTCTCCCCAACACACTTCTCCTGCATTCGCCGCTCAGATCAAAGCTACGGTCGTGCCGCAGTGGATCGTGGGCATCACTGTTGTACAGTCACCTCAAAGAGCTTCTGATTGGTTTGAGATGTTCATGAGGGATACTGGTGTTTCCTGTTTTAGCAGAAGCAGCCACAGATCTTAAAGCTGAAAAAATTGTTTCCAGAATGCGAAAAGCTCGTGTTTCGCAGGCTGTATGCCAACGTAGAAACTGGCATTGTCACAAACCTTCCCTCAGGCCAGAGGGTCTCTTCCTCCCTGCTGTGAAGAGAGTTTTCAGACACTGCTGCTCTGCTCAGAGACGTCTCGGGATCAGCCTCTGAATGTTTCTGAGCTGGTTTCTTGGTCCGTCATCCTGAAGATTCCTTAAGCTCTTATCTGCCCCAAGAGCGCCTCGTCTCCTTCACCTCATCACTCACTCTCTGTGATCGCCGCGGTGGAGATGACCCCTGATGTCACCTAGCTCTGTGTCTTGGCTAACCAAGCAGCGAATGCTAATCTCAAGCGGAGAGCCCTCGAAACAGAATGATACAGTAAATCTGGACAAGCTTTTCTCGGTAAGAAGCATGTCCACAAACTCTGAGATCTTGGTGGTCCACATGTCCATCCAGCAGCTTTCTCCCGCTGGCTGCTTTCCTCCCGACTGAGGTTTTCCTCTGAATCTCCGGCTCCAGCAGAGTTTGCTTCCTCTCGTGTTCCTTTAAATTGAATGAAAAACGATGAAACCGCACCAGGAGCAGACCAGGAGGATCTAATTATCCTCTATTTTTAATTAAAGTCATGTTCCTTCTTGAGCTAATTATTGTGAACTGCTATGTAAAGACCCCCGGAGACCAAATGTGGAATCTGTTCGGTGCTTGAGCTGCGTCCAGGTGATGATGGAGAGCGTGGTGAAGAAGCGTCTCCTCAACGGTTCCGCAGTTTTAAACAGGAAGCCAGAAGAATAAATAGAGGGACGGTGGAGGTCCATTAGAGGTTTCCTGCTGCTCAGACACTGAAGAGCTTCCAGTGCGTGTCCTGAGGAACACTGCCCTCCAGAGTTAAACATAGCACCGGTGTAAATCCATCAGAGCCGCTGGCTCTCACACGAACCCTGCAGCAGATCCAGCAGGAAGCTCTGACCCCTGAGGGAGACGCTGCAGTGTAAACACTCGGGGGGCTGGAGAAGCTCAAAGTGACACTCCGAGTGCTCTGTGGAATTTGTGACGCGCGCTCCACGCCATCATCGACCGCTCTGAATCCTGACACAGTCGGTGAGGGACCGGTGTGTGTGTGTGTGTGTGTGGGTCAGCGTTCCTGCAGACCATCACAACCCTCGCTCGCCGCAGCCTCTCCGCTCCTTCCTGAGTCCAGAAATAGGGACAGTGAGTTACGGTTTCCTGTCTCCGGTGCTCTGAGAGTCCAGAGCAGAGTGATGGAGCTCCTCTTTCAGCAAGGTCACAGCAGACGAGACCTCCTCCAATTGCCGGAGAGGAACTCTTCTCCACGCTTCTGATCGCACCGTTGTTTGGTGGGAATCTCAATTCGGTTCCTGTTACATTTTCACCTAAATCGCAGACTGTTGAAAGTGATGGAAGGTGCTCTGCCCAGGAACAGCTGTCAATGAAAAGATCACGCAGCGAGAGATAACAAGAGTAGCTGAGCAGTCCACTGTGCCAGAAACAAGCGCGGTTTTGAGCACATTATCAACCAGTACGACGGTGTAATAACCTCAGATCATCGTTTCAACCAGAGACGTTAGATAACATTTACACAAACGAAATAACAAATGCAAAAAGAAAGATCTGCGAGTCATTTCTGTTCGGCCAGAGCGTTTCTGTGAGTGAGCAGGTAGATAGGTTTTTAGGTAGGTTTGCATATTGAAAGGGACATGGACTTGGTTCTGCTCTGGTTCCTCTGTTATCACGACCAGCTGCAGAAGGAGAGCAGACAGGTGGAGGATGGAGTTCTTCTCGTCGAGATTCAGCCCTGCACCCTGGTGTTCAGATCATGCTCTCTGTTCTCTCTTGAGGTGGCCAGCGTTTCATTTTGGTCTGTTGGCTTTAAACGATCAGATGTTTTTCGGCCTTCTCGTGTGGATGGTGCAATCTTCTCCAAGACGTCACTGATGCTGAGATTTAGAGCCCTATTAAACCTCCCAAACATCTTCTGCTGCCCTGGGGCTGTAAATTTGACTCAAGTGATCTGACAAACTGAGAAACTGCCGTTGGCTCATGTGTGGGAGTGGATGGAGATGTTTGAGGGAGCTGCTGTAAACATCTCCGTCTCCTCCACTTGTCTGGAGAGCCTCGGCTGGGATTAGCGTGTTAGCTCGGCCACACACCTCGAGCGTGACCCGCTGCTCCCTGTGTCCCATTAGACAGATATATACAGATAGATAACTCTGCTGATAAACAGCTGGAGCAGTAAATGCCAAGCGTGCGCTATCAGCATCCCGAGCCTGACCCTAAGCTGCTCCTCACATGGAGTTCTGCTTCACAGAAACGCCAATAAGCCAGAGTTCTGATCAATCTGAAGAAGCATCATGAGTTGATGAGCTCTTCGATGGAAACCCTGAGGGAGTTTCCTTGAGGAGAGTTTTCTTCAAGAGTTAGACACACTCCGCTCTGAAGACATTGATCTCGAACCAGGAACCTCCTGCTGTCTGAGAAATGCTCAATGTTCTGCTCAATCCTGAGGAACACAAGGTGAGCACCAGGGGGCGCTGCGAGCTTGTCGATCTCTGCTGGACCCTCCGGGTTCTGCGCAGGCGCTCATGCCCATGTTTGTTTTACGGTTACCGTTTTTATCATGGAATGTATTTATTAACTTTCACACATTAAACACGAAATTGATCAGCTCTGTGATCTTTATCTGATAGAATTGATTGCTGGTGTGAGCGAAAGTAACTTTCTGCTTTCCTGCGGCTCAGTCGGTAGATCTCAGGGAAATCTGTTCATTTATTCAAATGTAATTCGCTTTGGAGCAAAGCGTCTGCCAAATGTATACATGTAACCAAATAAAAGCTTTAGGTTAAATCAGAGTTCTTTATCAAATAATGACATTTGAGATTTGCAGCCTTAATTATTATACACTGAAAATAACTCGACAGTTCACGGAATTGCAAATGTAATTTAATTAACATGAATCCAATTTATTTCTTGATTAGTTTTTGTACTTGAGTAGTTCCGGTTTATTTCCGGTGATTAGATTCAACAAGAACAACGAGCTGAAGGCACTAAAATTTTGAGGAAACGACTTCTTAGTTTGTTCGGAATCCTATAAGTGTAGTTTTATTGATTTAATATAAATTAATCGACTGCTTGGAGGAACAAAACTCACCTTTGATCCATTCAGAATTCTTTGGAAACGGATTCAATTTGCTTTAAATCTTAGCTAAACATTTTTTTAAACATGTGTTTTCCTCTCGTTCGTTTTCGTTAAAAATGAATTGTGGGAAGCATGTTTGTGATCGAGAATGTGATTACTATTACATTTTAAATTATTAGACTCGAATCCTATTTTACTCCGTGAATATTTAATTAATCTACTCGAAGTTTGTGTTCCACGTGATCAGAAAGCGTCAGTATTTTTTAATCGCGTTCTGAATAATAATTTAATTTTCAACCATGTTCGGTTTACACAATTATTCGATCGTGATGAATGAAATAAACTTTATAGTCAGACTTCTGCAGCTAGATTTCATTTAATCAGAATCACTCGTTTCGTGTTTATCTTTGACTTGCTTTTATTTGTGGGTTTTCTCTGGTAATTGTAGAAAAATACAGTGTTTTCAGCACGTGAATGTAAAGCTAGATGTGGATCAATCTCGAGTCATTTTCACCAAAACTAAACCTGAAATGGACCCGAAAATCTTATTTTTGCCACATATTCATTGAAATATTAAACGTCCCTCATTATCTACTGAAATTGAAGCTACGCTGTATAAAATACATTTTTTGTCACTAATTTTTGTCCTTTGTGTAAAAATATCAACGTGTAATTATTGTATCCCTTCTGCTTTTAATTTATATTTTTAGTTTCGATTCTTCATTATTGAGGTTTGGATTTCTTCTGTCGTGTATTTTCTGTTTCTAGATGATTGTTGACTTGTGTTTGATAATTAATTAAAGGGATGGCTGATCATCAAACTTTATTTTTATTCCCCGGGAAGAACCATGCAGGAAAATAAAGAAAATAAAGATAAAGCGCTACAGATTTTTTTATTTCCGAACTAAACCCCCTGCTGTAAAACAGAACCGAACGAATAATAATAACAATAATAATAATAATAATAATAATAATAATAATAATAATAATAATAATAAATCCTAAATGAAGCTCGGGTTGGGTTTGATCCGGTGCTTCTTAAGCTCCAAGGGCTCTCGGGCTCTCGGGGCGGAGCGGCCGGTGAGTCCTGGAAGAAAGTGATTGCGGAGCTCCCGCCGAGAGAAACCCGTGAGGAGCCGCGTTTAACTCCGGCGAAACCGAGCTCTTATTTCCTTCAGTTTTGTAGTAAATGAACACAGTTTTTTTCTTTAGTAAATGAACACATTCGATGCGTCCCGATTATGATTTGGATGCACTTTAAAGCATCAAACACATTTTATGGTTTGTTATTTTTACAAAATTATGAGAGAATTCACTTTTTTCAAATTCACTTCACAAAATATCTGATTTTGATTAAATAAATTGCTCTAATTGAATCACGCGGCAATTAAAAGCATTAATGTAGTTTATATTGTGAAGAAAAGAGCACTTTTTTTAAAAGTCTAGAACATTTGTCTGCACATAAAAAA